GTAGTCGGCACATACGAACGAGGATGTGATGCAGGAACAGAACAAAAAATAGCCTTTTCGGTGTCGGTGCAATGAATGCCGTCGTTTTCGATATTGGTTGCACGGCAGGTCGGACAGAGAACAAATGCGTTGAGGCTTCGACACAGACCCAAGAGAATTCGAAGCAYGGGAAATAGTGTCGGTGTCACTACGGCCCACGCCGTGAAAGACGAACACGAAGAACAACTGAAGCTCGCGGTCCTGGATACAATCGATGCCTTTCCCGTCACACTCCGGCAGACCATCGATGAGACGAGAGAGGAGGACGCGGGGGCCTTCCTGACGATTGTCGAGGGAGAACTAGTGCGCCTGCTATATGGCAACGAGGGAAGGGGGCTCGATTGCAACCGAGATACCGAAGAGGAAGTCGAAACCGCGATATACTTCTTTCCGCACGTTCTATGCGAGCGATACTGGGGCACGCACCCCCCGATCTATGCGCAGCTGGCCTATCTAAAGAGCGTGCCATTCGTACCGCTCCTAGCGAGACTTGGGATAGAGCTCAATCAGTTCCAAACGGAAGAGCAGGGAGGGTTGTTCTACCGCAAATGGAACGTGCTGCGGAGTCTTGTGAACGACGATTGGAACAATTGGTACGACAAAGAAGACAGGAATCTCGTCGACGAAATGTATTTTTTCGTCATGAAAGCGTTGCAGCAACTGGGTATTTTTCAAAAGGGTGACGTCCGACGACACCGTTTGATGAGAGCACTGGCTTACAGCAATTCGTTCTCGGAACGATGGTTTCGCTGCCTCGTCGACTTGGATCCGAACTGTTGCAAGGAATACTACGGCTCCACGAATTACTACGGGAWTCCCCACGAGTCGGTCTACAAATTTGCGAGCAAGGAAAACGGTATCAGTGCATTTCGAACGATATTCGAGCTGGGAATGACTCACTATCCGACGGAACTGGGCTTCTTGTTCCACAGGCATTGCTATGGTCGAACCAACTTCGAACTGGTGTGTTGCGAATTCGGGGCAGATACCGTGTCACGGATCGTCGAGGATGCCCTGAGGATATGGGACGAGCGGGAATTTGATGCCAGTGGAAAACTCGTGGACCGCAGAAAGACAATGGCATTGATTCACGCCGCGACGAATTCGGGGCATCACTTCGAGGCGGTCTATTTCTTGTTGCGCAGAGACCCGGCCGTCATTTTTTATTCCATCGCCAAGGGGTAACTAGTGTTGGCCGTGCCGCGGGCGGCTTTGCTCGCTGCCGTTTTTTCCCTTCGATTTCTTTGTTCACGGATGCCCGAGATCCACCGCAGTGCATACCCCCCAGAAACCCGTTCCTTGGAACGATTATGCGATCACCAACACCGGTCCCGGAAAACTCAAAATCACTTGAGCAAGAAGCTTGTGGGCAGCTTTCGAGGCAAAACTACGGCGCAACAACGCAACTCCAGAGTCCGAAGACGGACAGGCACATCGAAGGCATTATCTGCCGAAATTGAAAAAGAGTGCATCGGAAAAGACAGATCATATTATTTTCGCCCTCATAAATTTTTAACCCAGTGCCCACGGAACAAGAGACCATGAGCTTTTCTCGAGTATTTGAAAGTCCTCCCTGTAAGATCAACTCAGGATATAATAGTTTCTCGAATTGCTCATTGAAATTTACATCTTCCGACTACATGGGAAACAATCCACGTCCCACTTGCGTTTCTCATCAGAAAGCATTCTCGGCGACCGAAAAAAAGGCCACAGCTCTTACCAGGGAAGACTTACCTCGAAAGTTATTGGCGAAGCTAAAGCGGGCCGAAACGCCTTTCACAGAAGTCTTTCGTCTCCAAGTCAAGTTCAATGATGGTGGGAGCTGGTCCTGCTTATGTGTACCCAAGAATGGTTCCTTCGGCTGCTGACAAACTCGCCGGATCGTTCAATCCTTCGAATTTCGAAACGGGCCCCAAACATCGGCTGACCCTGAATCAAATTTTTCCTCACGCAAATCGCGCTATGTTTTAATTTGGTGAACACTGGGTTTGTCCATATCCATCATCCCAGTCATGCGGTGGATTCATTGGAGGTGAATTCCAGAGATATTACGATGYTTTGTTCCTCCCTTGCAAGAGCTCCTCTCTTCAAGAAGCCCTGGTTGTGATGGATTCGACATTGAAGAAGTATCCAAACCAAAGTTGGGCATTCACTCATGATTGGACCCGTGTAGCCTTTCCGTTGAAACTAACAGACGCGAAGGAAAAAAGGTACTCTGCATACATAAATCAACCGGAGGAGTCTCAAATCAATGACTTGATTCCGTGCCAAAAATTCGACACCGTCACCAATAGCCCTTTGAAGTGCGTATCTCGGATCACTGAAGTTGAATTTTTGGCATACGAGAACATCGTGGRTGCGTTGTTCCCACCTTGCTCTAGAAACTACGGAAAGGGCAGATGGGCATATGATCGCAATCGCAAAGTCACTATTGGCGATGGCAATGATAGAGGTAGGGAAGAACGCGGAGTGCCGAAAAAAATAGTCGCAGAAGTCTCTCGCAAGGTGACATCCCTCCACGATTTCCTCTGTGTCTGTGAAGCTTTGTTTATAAAAGTAGAGGCCGATGAGGCGAATGAGCTCTTTAGATCCTTTGAGAAACTCCGAATTTGAAAGACATCTCCCGAAGCAACTTTCCCGTAGAATGATTGATTCATTCCTACCTGTACTACTACGTACCTATTCCCCAAGTCAAACCAGGCATTTACTACTACTTCACCCACCGCGGCCACTGAAAACAGTAGAACTATCTWTATTACTTTAATTGCCAACATCATTTCCGATTGCTTCGAAAATGAACTTAATTTTGTCTCGCTCTTGCATACAAAAATATGATTAGAAATRGGAGCAACATAATACTGCAAGATTATCACCATACTACTACTGCCTGGACCGGCTGGACTTAGCTCCAGCAGCAGAATGATGTGATGCTGGTGTTCTATACTATTTAATTCATATTTTTTGCGGTGATTGTTACTACTACTGGTGGTGGTACTACTATTTCAGACTTTTACACTTTTGTTGGATACTGCATTATTTGTCTGGTTGCGGATTGATGTGATTCAAATGGATGGTTAATTGTTGCTTCACACCTRAATAGTAGAGTATCAGCACATCTTCTGGTAGTACTAGTCCTGCCTTGAGCAAAAGGCTTGTCTTCTTGCCAGCAGTACTACTACCAATTAGTCATCTAATGGTTTTTCCTATCTCTTGAGCCCTGACAGTTTTGACAGAATACCTTTAGCTTAGGGGGGGGGCATGATGAAAAGGGCAAGGTGTAAACAACAGAATGAGTTCCGTGAGGGGGATAACTTTTTTTCGTGCTTTCAGCATGGACCCAGTATGATACTTTGAAGTAAATGAATGCCCATTCCAGAAACATGATGTTCTGGTGAAACAGAGTTGTGAACGATTCTTCCAGATTTTTATCCTCCAAACAAGAAAAACTAAGGGTGGACGTTGAAACTTCTATGGTATCAACTGCACAAGATGTGCAATACCACAGATCCAGTTTGTGTGACGCAAAGATCACCTTCCATTRTTCTTGCTGCTATTGTTGTGCATCACGTGGTGGTGGTGTAATACTAGTAATCCCCACTTTTGTGGTGAACAATGCTCTTCTCATGCCATTGCTAGTTGGTCAGTACACATGTTGGCTTGGCACTACTACACCTTGACAAACAGATCAGGTGGTGATTGACTCAATTGAAAGGAATGCTTGGTTGTTGTTATCAACTGCTGCTTGTCCAAATTTAAAATGTTTTGAGAGCACGGCCGGCGCTAGCAGGAAGAAAAAAATATTTCTACTACTACTAGTAGTACTAGTAGTACTTCTGGTGATAGCTTTCTCCGAGTGCGCATTGTGATAGCCATTGGGTCATTCCCGTTAGTCTAGATGGTCTACTTTTTGGAAGACAGRCAGACAAAAAATAGACCATCTAGTCTTAATTTTTAGACTTTCTGTCAACGCTCCACTCCCGGCCTTACAGAAAGTCTAAATCTACTAGACCAGAATCCAAGAATGAAAATCCGTCACATGACTCATTATTATCCAATAAAAATTTATTGCGTGTGCGCTTTTCTAGTACCGTTAGATTCCAAATTCTTTCGAGACCAGAAAGAGTGCCTAAAAAATGTCCATTGGGCCCCTGTTTTTAATGATTCCCGTTAAACTAAAAAGTCTAAAAGGTCTACTTCAGATTTTTAGACCATCTAGACTAACGGGAATGAGCCATTCTCCAAACTCGACATACCGTTATGTCGCTGGCATTTCGTGAAAATTATACTTCGTAGTACAGAATGACCCAATTGAGACATATCACCGACATTGAAGGCACTTCATGACACAGAACAGCTCAATTATCATTTTTGGGATTCGTTGTGTCTACTTTTGACACTACCAACGAAGCAGCAGCATGCCGTTGGTCTGGTAAGAAAATCCAATCATTTATGATAGGAAAATTCTCTCACCACGATTACACACCCTCAATAGTACCATACTATTATCGGATAGATAGCGAAAGCAACCATGGAAAGCAAAACCACTACCGATCCAATGCCTTTCGAGCGCGTAACAAGAACTCTTGATGAATTCGGAAGGAACTGCTTCATTGACGAGGATGGTATCGCCGCGACGAACATGTGCACAATCCATGGTTTTTTCAACAAATGCCCGGCTGGATCGTCGCTAACCTATGCCGGCACAAAGAATTCCATCGACGCCAAGCTTGCGTGTCCCCTTGATTCTGTTGCTCAATCCGACTGGAGAGAGGCGTCCCAGAAGGGGCTCTGCGACTGCGAGGCTTCGCTGCTGGACGGGGAATGCGAAGTCATCGAGGAGCAAATGGACTGCCAATGTTTCGGTTGTCCCGACGGAACTCTCCTTGGTTTTGCGTATTCGTGCACAACCCCGATTGTCGGCCCGTGCCTGTCATTTGATTGCTATGGAGTTTGCAACGGGAAGTTCGATCCAGGTAACCTAACTGGAGAGAAGGAGACGTTTGCCCCCACTGAGATGGCCCAGGATGAGGACGAAGACACCTCTTCGGCTAGAACCATTGGCGATCCAAACAACCACGTGATGGGAACCGCAGTAATGGTGCTCGCACTTTTGCGAATGATAATGTGAACAAAATAATTGATAATGTGATGTGCTGTGTGTTTTAACGAAAAATAATCATTACTTCTACTCGAAGTTGTTGGACCCGAGCACCTGTTTGTAGGAGGTGAAAGGATCCAGGACGGGCAAAAGTCATTGAGAAATTTGAAGAACGAACAAAGTCGTCTTGATCTAGCAGTCGACATTGCTAACGACACGGCAGTTGTTATACATTTAGCTTTAATTTTAACGTTCTAGAAAATGACTTTGTCGCGTGTTTCAAACATCTATCACAGCACATTCCAAAAACTTTGTACTAAAAAATAACACATCATCTTCTCCGCCGTCCACTGTTGTTATTGCCGGTATTGGAGCTGGATGGTTCGCAATCTGAGTTTGTGCAGCATGCACAATCTATTTCACAGTCAGTTTTGCAAGTCCACTCTTTGTTCGTTGAAGAAACATGGTTGTTTTTGCTACTTTGAGGAGTCAGGGAAGATTCATCCTGGACTGCAACTGCATTCAAAGCAGGGGTTGACCATTTTTCCCAGTTATTACACATCTCTGAATCAATATCTCCAGTTAATAAGTTGTTTTGAAGCTGCAGAGAAAATAAGCTTTTCCAGTTCGATCCGAAATTGGAAGGAATGGACCCAGACAATAAATTTGAATGTAGCCAGAGTTGCTGCATCTTTGTATTTCTAGATTCACCAGGCAATGTTCCCGTAAAGTTGCATCCATCAAGAAAGAGTTTTTCCAGTGACAGATCCCATAGCACCTGTGGTATGGTCCCCGTAAAGAGATTACTTCCGAGGTCTAAATGGACTAGATCAGGGCTGTCCCACTCTGTCGGCAAAGGCCCCGAGAGCTTGTTGTTGTAGGCGTGAAACTCCTTCAAGGACGGAGAGGAGGTCCAATATTGAATATCTATTGATTCAATGCGATTGGAGTCGATCTTGATTGTTCTTAAATTTGAAAAGAAAGGAAAGTATCCTCTAGCTTGGTTGTCATCCATGTTGAGGTACGTCAGAGCTGACTTCGAATCCGTTCTCTTCGGAATAGAGCCTGTAATTCTATTTTTTTGTAGATCTAGCTTCTCCATTCCTTCCAAAAGGTCAAAGAACTCTTCAGGGATGGTAYTCGATAGCAAATTGAACGACATGTTCAGAAATTTCAAGCTCGAAAGAGACCCTAATTCGTACGGAATTGGCCCAGTGATATTATTATCAGAAAGGTCAATTTCCCTTATAAAGCTGTTGCCATCACAGACAACGCCATGCCACTCGCATTCAGATAGATCACTATCCATCCAATCGGTACTGTTCGTCCAAAAAGTACCATTGGTAGTGTAGTATAAAACACAAAGAATGTATCGCTGCTGCGCTCGTTGCTCCACATCATTGTCGAAATCGATAGCATCGTCAGAATGTATCATCCAGTCGCGGCTTTTCCCTTCCGGAGTGCTTAAGTCAAAGAGATTGTCCTCATTAGTACCGTGTACTCCGAGTAATGCTTTGTCSAATTCATTTGTAGGAATCGGGGCGAACGACCTCTGGTCTCCTATGGGAGGGAAAGCAAGATTAGTTGTCGGTGAAGATGTTGGGCCAGCAATCCCTTTTGCTTCATCTTCCGGTAATTTTACCAGAATGATGTACATCCCAACTCCAATCGCAATGGCCAATGCGGCAATGATTCCCAACAGAATACTTGAGTACTTTTTGCAATTAAGGGACGTGAACAAAGACTTCGAAGTATGATCAAGCACTGTCTGTACCGGCTGTGAATAGGTGTCGAGTCTAATTTCCACTGCGTCTCCTTCGTCTTGGTGTGCTCCGCCCAGAGATGCATTCGCCTCCGAAACATTATCAGCTGCTTCCACTCTTGCTCCGACAGGACCGTCAACTCCCAAAGAATTTGACGCTTCGGATTCTTCCCCTCCTCCCCGTCGCCGCCTGTGCTTGCCTCCTCCCCATGTCTTCACTTTGTCGGTTGTCTTTGAACCTCCAACATTGTTTCCRTGCAATTGATCTACCACTTCGGAACTAGAAGAAACCACGGCCGACACAATAGAAGAATTGACCGCATGCTGGTTGGCAGCAACCGAAACATCTTCCGGGATCGGTTCCAAGAACAAGCTCGAGCCACCCATGCCGCCTTCCGCATTCATGACTTCTCCAAACGAAACAATCGGTGAAGAAGTGCTCAGTTGCGGTGATGACGTTCAATGATAGCGGATGCCGCAGTATACAGATTCAGAGACAACATAGAGTAGTTTCTGATGACAGAAACAAACACAAGTATCTGAAGATGAGGGAATCGTTTAACTCCAGCGTACGAAGGGGAATCTTGTCAAAAGAAAATGCGGACGGCGATATTATTATTTTGTCTAGTAAAAACATGAAATCGAGGAGGCCGTTGGATRATTGATTACTCAATGACTGATTTTCTTGACAATTTTCTCAGTTTTGTAACTGTAGTTTCCGCATTTGATAATTAGGCACGTGCTTATAACAAGAAAATGGTAGTCCATTGGGCATAATAAAATACTGAAGATAATTAGGCGTACCTCCTCAGGTACGGGCGTGATGTAGCCTGAACGCCGAAGAACCGGTCCGACGTGAGAAATCAGAAAAAAAATGTTCTGTACTTCGTGTAGTGTACGAAAAAGGACGAAATAAAATAAGTACTGTACAGTACTTCGTATTACTGTACTGCGCGTTKTGTATCAATTTAAATTCCGTTTCACAGGGCATTCCGAATGTTTGAACTAAAAGTTCCCAATGTTAACTTGTTGATGTTCCCAATGYCWGACTTGAAAGTATCACTGTAGGCCTACATAGTTCCTAATATAATTCCCATTCTTCATTTGGTACTAGTACATCAGCATCCAAAAACAATACTAATTTTGGTCTTCTTGTTTCCTAAAAAGGCGAGGAGCAAGAAGAAGAACAACAASAAGAAGAAGAAGCACCACCAGGATGTCTGCTGGCCTGCTAGTACTTATGTGCAGCCCTACTAGTAGCAAATAACAGTAGGCTTATGAAAGACCTGCTACTAGTAGTACTAGTAGCATGTTCTACTACTTTCATCACATAAAGAACAACTTGCTCCATCTCTCTATCACAAAAAAACATGAATAATAACAACATTCAGCAGGTAATTCTTCACTCTCTGCATTTAATCTACTAGTTTCACAATATTGGTAAAGTTGCGCAAGAGGTTCTYCTTCTTGTACTGATACAATAATTGTTTGAAAAACGTTTTTGCTCAAATATTCTTACAGAGGGTGAAATAATTTGTTTTCTTGTAAATCCTAACTCTTTCATGTGTTTTCATTTTACGTCTTCATAAAATGATATTACCATAAAACTCATCTTGGGATCCACCATTGAGTGCAATCTGTATCGATAATTCCGACACAAAACCTCACCATCGGTCAGGGCACCCAGTTCCTTTGATCCTCCCGTCTTCGAGCGCTACTTCTACCAAGTTATTATATTCCTTTCCATACGCAGGGCTCTGGAAGTCGTTGTGGTACTGGTGATAGACCTCTCCTTGGTAAAAGGGAAACTTGGTCGAGTCGTACACGTATACGATCTGTTTGCCAAGTGTATCGGGATCGTTGCCCTTGCCTTCTACCAATTTGAATCCAGCTTTTTCTGCGGCAGATTCCACCAAGGGGTAGCTTGTGTGCTTCATGCCTCCCGGAAGACCGATCAAACTTCGGTATTCTGCTCCACGGTCCATGGGATCCACACGATCTATTATTGATTATCACGAAAATGCATTTCGTTTTGATACAAAACCCGATAATCGTTGGATGAGCGGCACGAAAATTGAAGCGGACACAAAGCARTAACTCTCTAAACTGAAGGYCTACATACCTTTTGTTTTGGGGTTGTACAAAGAAAAGTATAGCTCCGAAAAATCGCCGATTTTGCTTTGCGGTATGTTCATTCCAACCACTTCTCCATGCCCTAGCTTTCCATAGTCCGCAACTCCCGAAAAGTTATGGTAACAGACACGTCCCTCCTTGTCGGTAGATTTCCCTCCAGCGTACCCTGCAGCAGAAGTAAATTGATGCGGTCCTCTGCCCAAAATTCCTTTTTCTCCTTGCACAACAAATTCGTGTTGAATATGCCAAAAGCACTGTTGTTGCCGCAGTTGACGACGAGCATTTTCCAATATTYRATTCAACAAAATAGAGGTTAAGAAAAGAGGAGGGAACTATGAGACGATACCACTTCAAGCGTGTAAAGAATAATCATCATACTGTCAAAGCGTACAGAGACCTGAACTTACACCGACTCCGAAATAAAGCGGTGTGTCGACGTCATCATCAGCAACGGCGATTTCGGCATTGGCAATCCCTAGTAGGGCTCCCGCGGAGAGGGCCGCAGCTGACCGGAGAAGATTCCGGCGCGAGGTCGCTGATGCGGTGTCCTTCTCTGAAGAAGCGGTATCCTTCGTTGTTGGAACGGTATTCTTTCGGATAATGTTGTATCCGTGTCCACCCTGCATAAGAAGGCAGCACAAAAGGATGAGACCAGCTAATTTCATAATATTGGTTGTTTCAATTGTCGAACTGTGCAGAAATCGACAAGGCCGAAGTTCTTAGAGACTCGTACTTGTTGTATTCAGTGATGTTGTTTGCATCCACTTTCCAGTCGGTTTCAATATGATCAACTGAACAAATATCACCAATAGCAATAATGAATACAGTAGTTGGGGGATTGTCGTCACAGCTGACGAACACGCAGATGTCAGTGAATCGGATCTTGGGAATTTTTTGCTTGAAAACATTAGAGTTCGAGTTAAAATGAGATCGGAAACCACGTCCTGCGCGCGAGAAGAGCGGGCGCGTGTGCGTCGCTTCGCCAATACACTAGAACTGTAACGTTCATATTCAATTTGTTTTCCTTCACTAGAAGTACTTGATACTGCAATGAGGAATACCAGTATTCGTAATTCAAGGCCTTGTTGCGACAGCAAGTGGTAATTCAAGTACATCTTGATCCTAACAAAAGACAATTATACATCACAATGGTGAGGCAATATAGACAGCAAGAGAAACGATATTGATGACTTGTACGATTGAGGCTGGAGATTAGATATGATAGGACGAGATTTACCGGGTTTCAGCTCTTYTGGTCAAGGATCTTCCGGTTGAATGATACACTTCCTGCTGTTGCATCTAGTGACTTTTTTAATYAATTAATCTCATCGAAACCTTTTTCTGTGTCTKTGGATCAATTTATTGTTTCTTTTCTAGGAGGTTGGAAAGCTTGTAGCGGTCATCGGAGATGAGGTAAGGAAGACCAATCWGAGTTTCGTCATCTCGTATTCTCACCGCGGAGAGGGAGAAAAAGAAAGGAATTTTACAAGATCCATACTTTGCAATCTCTATTTCTGATTTCTGTTTGATTATGCAGTCGAACACTATCAATATCAAAAATAATAAACAAYGCTACGAGGACAAGACAACCTTTCGATTTCAAATAGTATCCACGTACCTCTCCTCACAGCCAATTCTTTTGTTCGTCTCGGAAATCACTAGGATACTGTAACGGGATTCCTTTTGGCGGGTATTGGACATAGAACAGCAGAAGGATCGAATTTCTTGATTGTGAAACAGGACACTACACTCTCACAGGTCGAGGAAGCCTTTAAAAGTTTTTCGACCAGAGAAGATATTGGAATCATCCTAATCAATCAACACATTGCTAGCGATATTCGACACGTCCTAAAGGACTACAATCAAACCATTCCAACTGTACTTGAAATTCCATCCAAAGAACATCCATACGATCCAGAACAAGATTACATCATGCAGCGTGTCAGTATGTACCTTGGTGGAGGCAATTAACTGGTCAATCAAATTTCTTTGATTTAATTTTCTAGAGGGATAGATTTTTTTGCAACGAAGCATTCTCAGTGCAGTTTCTTTCTATTTGTTGCGCTAAATGCGTTCATGCCTAAAATAAGTTGTATTGTTTATTGATGATCGACACAATTAACACATCATAACGAGGCGAAACTGCTTAGCACAAAGCTTCAYAATAAATCTCAGGAGCCATCTATTTTTTGAGCATGAACGAATGAATTTCGTGACAAAATGCCTCGAAGTTTTTCTTGAAGAGAATCCGATTCTTTCGACCTTCGTGGCCTTTTGTAGTCGTAATCTTAGCRACGATATCGGCCCGGATCAGAGAYTCAAAATTCGATATCAGACGTTGCTGGTGTTCTGGTGCGATTTGTTGTGCAATTCCTTGAACAACGCGCCCAAAACTGTTGATATCGATTGCGGCGAGTGGCAACARGGCCATACCAGCCGGTTCGAGTCGGTCCCAAATTATATTTTGAAAGACAACCTCCGTAAGTAATCGTCGCGAAYATTTGTCGATGAGGCCCTCCTGATTTGGGGGGGTTGCAGCGATGTGGACGTCTAGAACCCTGGTACTCAAATGCTCCTTAGCAATTCCACTGATCCCTTGCAAACTCGATTTTGCAATACTGGCATCGTGATAGGTCATGCCGTAGAGCAAAGATTCCACGAGAGCATCGAACAATTCGTATGGAAGAATTTTTAACTGATTGGCGTATGACTCCAGCATGAATCCAACCAATTGTAAGAATTGAGAGCAAAGCGTTGGGTACTGGAGGAGACCACGTGTCATCAGARGCAATATTTGTTGAAGGCCTACAAATATCATTTCGGACACTTTACTCGAATCTATGGATTGTTCGCCACTGTAAAAGAAATCCTTGCTTCCCAACTGAACCAGCAATTCAATTGCGCAGAGTACGTCAGAATATTTTTGTTCTTCCTCCTCYGATGTACCACCAGTATTGGAAACCACCCTATTTGAAGAGCAGTGATTCGTTGAATAGCTCTTKAGCAAATTTGAACAGGCTTGAAAGAGTGMTAGACACGAAGACGAGTCAAGGATGGATATGAATTGATAGGAATAATCTCGAAAGAATCGTAAGAGGCCTTCGCAAATGGTCAAATCTTCGGCATAAAATTCCATCAATCCAGAAAGATGCGCAAGGGATGGAGTGATGAACTTCGGAATACGTTCAGACCCTTTCATRTCGCCAGCAAGAGCAACTCCGTCGTACAAGGAAATGCAAAGACATGCCATTTCCTTGGCATCGACATTGTCGGCTTTCATCTGTTTCGATCTGCATTATGTAGTAGGTCAGAGAAAGGAATGTTGTTAAAAATGTATTCATCTTCTAGTGGAAGCTGTGTCTGAATTCAACAAGAAAATACATAGATCTATTGCATCATTGCATTGAACTTACGACAAAACATTCACTAAAGAGGAAAAAGCGTCGTGGGTTGCTGTGAAGCAATCGTTAAGTAATGCATTTGAAGCTTCGTCCTCTTTTTCTCCACAAGCCATGATTATYCCTGTTAACAACTTGCCTTTGATTTCGTATGGCAGCTTATGATAACCTCGGATCATGTTCATGTCTAGAKTCATATTTTGGATATTGCCAGCTTTGGTACGCACTGTTGTCTCGAATTCTTCTTGAGGTACACTGTGCCGTATCCCACAAGTTAAGCAGTGATAAATGACAAGTTGTCGAAACTGGGGGCAGCCTACAATGGCTAACCTCATCTTGGACCCCCGCTTCGCCAAGGATAGCAACATCAGTGCGGCATTCTCCTGAACCTGTCCTTCTTGGGGCCAATAGCAGTTGTAATGTATACAGAGTGTAATTAAGAAGGAAATAGCTTGCTGAACTCGTTCTGAATTAGACCAAGCCAAAGTAATAGTACTTGGAGTCGTTGACGACCCATAGACGTCAGGGAGAATGTAGGATGGAGCCCAACGATTGAAAAACCAGAGGAACGTCTTGGCTAAGAGCGGAGACAATCGTTGGTCGTTTGGGTTTGCAGTRATCTTCGAAACTTGGTATTCTGCGAATTGTTGGAGCAATTGAACAGCCGATACGACCGCATCACACGCAACCTGATTGTCCTGGCAAGCTAATATTATTGATTCGGGAATAACACGGGTTTCGCCAGCATTTTCGTCCGTCAACAAGTGACCAATATACAACGTTACTATACGAGATTGCTCCAAAACTCCTGCCGCTTCGGCGGTCACAGCGTTTGTCGTTGGGGAATCCCACAGCGCCTGGAGTTGCGGAATCATCTCGCCAAAAAAAGCAGACAAACACGAGAGGGAAGCTTGAATGTCCAACCGCCCCACGGCTGCCAGTGATGTCATCTCTTCCTCTAGATCAACTGCATAAATTTCTTCTCTGACCTCATCGAGATCGGTTTCATGAGCCATCAAATAGGTTTCTTCCAGATAGGCCATCTTGGTGCGACACGTGACAAATTCTATGTATAGGGGACCCAATGTTTTTGCCAACGCAGCTTGTGCCCCTTTCCGTGAATCTTCCGATCCAGAAAACAATAGCCACGGGTCGCTACACAACAGTACAATTCCTTCTAAGAGTAGGGCCAATGCTTCGTCTCGCCATTCCCGGTGTTCCATGGAATCCATGTCTCCTTGAACAGATTGGCATTCTTTCAGATTTTCTTGTAGCAAATAACGTCCAAGATCGGCCATCCCCTGTAACAGTGATTGCGTCAAGGGCAACTGCACTAAAATCGTCAGCTTATAATTGACAATRAGCCGAGACACCATGGAAAGCGTGTCAAGAAGYTCGGACGATTCTTCGTGTCGTTCTGCTACCGYCTTTGTTGTTGTTATCAACAAGTGGAGGATTCCCTCCAAAAGAAAGCTGGCAAACGTCGTTTGATCCTCCGGGGTCGGGAAGATCGGACCAAACAAGGAAGACAACAGAAGAATCAGTTGCCGAATGGAATGGGCAAGCTCTGGTGATGACGAAGGCTGGCCGTTGCTGTTATGGGCGACCCGTGAATGGACGAGGAAAATAGCCTTGACGAATTCCGGTTGAACCAGAACGGACCTCCATGCCACGGGGGGTCTCACCAGGACGCTTCCCTTGAAGGTCGGAAATCCACCCGAATCCCAGGCATCGGTACCAAATTCCCAGCCTATCACATCGATTGTCAGCTGTACTACAGCCAATGCTAGATTTTCCTTGGCCTTTTCGATCGTTGCGCTGCTATTGAGCATCCCAACCACCTCGCTCAAGGCCTTCATACTCATTTGCAAGGATCGATCCAGCCATTCCTCTTTTTCGAAGGTGGCGTGGGCGCGTTTGTGGAATTCAAGTGGCATGTTGTATTGGCTAGCCGATTTTCCGGCAAACTCCCCCACTAGAATATTCAGGTAACTAGCGGCCGATGCCATCTCGAGCCTCGGGGTAGTCATTGCAGCGTCTAGAAATCGGAAGAGATCCTCCTTGCCTTGAAGTTCCGGTATTTGTAGCCGCAAAGACGACGATGATTGGCTTTGGTGCTGTTGATTTTGTATAGTTTCCATCAAAGCTTGCTCCGCCTGTGACATTGCTTTGTTGCTGTCCGGTGCGTTGTTGTTCGACTCTTCGTTCCATTGTCGTTTCCAAAACGATGTCGACGCGTTGAACAACGCCAAGCGAATAGTTCTGCTGAATATCGGAGCGCTTATATCGGCACTGTTGCAACAGCTTCCGAGTGCCATGAAATAATCCCGCACGAGCCTTCGAAAGGCTCCGCAAAAGGCCGTCCATTTGGTCAAAACGACGTGGCGCATGCCCGTGATGCAATGAAAGAGGAGTTCTTCGTTTTGTTGCGCCACCAACCGTTGGGACTGAGGTTGCGACTGCTGTGCTACGATACCACGGATTTCAAGAATTGTCCTCAGAAACAGAAACCTAGAGTCCCCCTCATCTCGCAGCGCTTGCAGGGCGGCGTGGGCGATGAGGTTCGGATTGCTATTTGGAGCTGTTCCGGGTTGAGGTGTTGCCAGAACCTGGCGCAGCTCATCCATGGCCGCCATTGCCGCCATTTTGTTTCAATGATAGTGTTCTTCCCTGGTCTACTTCACCAATGCATCTAAAAATTGCAATGCATTTGTAAGGCTATCTCGTCTTGGCGCTAGAAGGAAAAATAATCCGAAGGAGTACTTCGAAATTATCGACACTGATTAACATTGCCAGGGACAAAATTTCAACATCATTGTGTGGGCATCCCCGTTTTTTCAAATCGGTGGAACGAGGCGAACTGCGGCTAATCTACTTGTGCGTAGGGTACAGGTACTCGTGCTCGTACTCGTACCCTATCGTGAAATCAATGATGACGACTCCTTCATGAATGATTTGTTCGCGTGACTGAGATCCGCCGCAAATGATAGAAGTCCTATCGTATCGTTACGTGACTTAACGTAATGTACCCGTTGTACTCTACCGTACTTCCTGGTATCAGTCCTACTMCTATCCTAACTGTAAAATTTCTAGAACGTACGGTACTTGTACTCGTAGGGTCCGTTTCTACTATCCAATCCAAAAATTGGATTTTCCTCTGCTGCGCTGTGGAAATCAAACACAGTACTTTGTACCATACGTACGTACTGTAGACATTCGAACGGTGCGAATGTGTAATGAGATCGCGCGCGGTCGTCGACCAAGAAATAAATCTTGCAAGGAAAGATAATTTTTTGACACTGAGGCAAAAAAAGGCGAACCAACAAATTCGCGTTGGATTTTACAAACCATAAACCCTCTAAAAATCATTGCTTTCGCGCGATGCTAGTCACAGAACGATTACGGTACGTAGGCCTTAGTACKGAAACCTCGCCGCTGTAAGTCAGAGCGCACCGTACCATCGCAACTAGAGTGAGCATGAAGCACAGGGCTGAATGACTCCTTAATTTAATTCTCATCAATTTAGTAGTGTTACACCTTACTGTTGTCGCGCAGCTTGCTGTCCAGAATTTTTGAGCTCTCTTGTTGTCAGGTTCGCTTCTAGYAGGAATTCTACAGGGTTTCTGATGTACATGGATATTGTCAACTAAAGCTGCCTCAACCAGGAGATAAAGGTAGTTCGGAAGTGATTATTCCCATTACACCGGACGACAACACGGAAAAAACCCAACCAATACAATCTTATGAGTAGAATATAGATGACAAATCCAAATGGACCGACGGGAAAAGGTCTAGAAACCATGGCAAACTCAAATGGGGTAGCTCGTCCCAAGAGCGCAGACGCACGGACGAGTACGGGGTTTGCCGTAGAGCGGAACGTAGAAGGGGTTCCTCGCGATGTGGGAACAACAGCTATGCAAAACACTACAATGTTGGCTTCGACGAAGACTGTTGATGCAACAAAAGGGACATCTTTACCTCAGAGAGGCATTGGTGAGAAGAAAGAGGAAGACGCCGTTCCGATGAAACAAAACAGCAAGAGCACAACAAGTACGAATTGTGGTCGAGTTGAAAAGATCGAATCTTCATCGTCGACAACCTCGTCAAAAGTCAAAGGGGCACCTTCTAACCGAGCCCAATCGCAAACGATAGGCAGTCGTGTCGAGGGCAACACGAAGTCGTCTTCAMCGAATTCACCGATGCCGATCTCGTCTCCCAAGGGAGGGAATGATGGCGGGAACGATAGGGTCACATTCGACAAAAAACCGAACAAGCCTTTGGCGCCCGAAAGCAGAAGTAGTATCAGTATTGTTCGCAACCCAAGGAATCCAAAAGCCCCTAATAGAGATATGACTCCTCAAAATCTGTCCATGATGGCGGCGAAAAATAAAAGTAGAGCATCGCTTTCACCAGCGTCAGTAACTCAACAAAAACCGTCGAAAGCAATGCAATCTTCATCAAAGCCAGGCGTGATGAAGAAAAATTTTCTCACCAATCCTTCTTCCGCTGCTATGGCCGCCAGAGGACAAGTCACAAACATTCCCAACATCGACATGGATGAATCCATGGTTTCTCTTGGAGATGAAGAACTTCAGATACAACGAGCCCCGTTGACAACAAAGTATAATCCATACATCACGCACTCCGACACATCTTTAGCAGACGCTCGACGTAGATTAGAGATTGCCTTGGACCAGACTCGTCAACTCCGGGCGGCATTTACGGAGCGAGTGTACGGAAAATACCGTGTTTGTCTGCAGCCACCTCCTCAGACACGGGATATAATCAAAGTTCTCAAAGATGATCCAATTGGTATGCATAAAAAGATCGAACTGGAACTCAAGCGAATAGCTGATGAAAAGAGCGCAGAAAAGAAGTATTCTCAAATGGCTGTCACTGATAATGATAATGYTGCAGCAGCAGCATCAGTGCCGTCGGCTGCTGCCACTATTCCTGCTGGGCCCAATGCCGTCGGAGCAAGTAAGGCCACTAATGGAAACACCACTTCCTCCGCAGCTCCGACTACCGATACCGAACAGTTTTTGTACGTGACTTCAGGTTTGAGCTTAATCGTTCTACCCGAAGATACTTTGTCAAATATAGACCTCTTTGTGTACCGAGAGAGGGCACCACTAAACGCCAAAACGGGTCAACGTGTGCGAGGAATTAGTCCGGCAGCTGCATCATCTGGAAACCTTATGTTAGAGCGTGCTCGACAGGGAAAAGTTGCAAGAGCCGAACGCATAAAGCGATTGCAGCAGAAAGTTGATAAGCTGGCGCACAACTTCTTCGATAGCCACTATAAATCGAGTATCTCCGCATTCAACGCTGCTGCAATRGAATTGCCATCATCAATATCCAGCTCTGCCAAACCAACAGCAACAGCTGGGAAAAACTCAACGTCAGTTCCGCAGGAGACAAAGTCAAAAATATCTGCTTCACGATCACGTAGTTCCTCCAAATCAGCAGAAGGGAAAAAAGTTGCCGGTGTAAAACGCCCACCAGCACCCAAAACCACTACCAAAGTACCTGCTGGACAAACTGCAGCTGGTGCCAAGGTCATTCGTGCCCGAGTACAAACGCCAATGACACTTCAAACATTACTTAACCTAAATCCTATTCATGAAGAATTGCGAACGGACACAAAATATAGCGCAGCTACGCTAGCCATGATGGAGTGCGGTGTCGGCACCTATCAAGGCCCGACAACTCAGTACCACAAAAACACTCCGCACAGGTTTAAGCATCCATTTCCTGACTCGYTTGGTGGTCGTCGTCGTCCTGTGACGAGTGCAGGAGGTGTATTGGATCCATCAAGTACAGCGAATCTCCAACTGACTTTACCTTCTATACCATCTGTTAAGGAGCGCAGACGTTACAAGAAAACATCAGTCTTGTCCAGAAAAGAAGCCGGAACAACTCGAGCAGCAGCATCGATCCGGAAGATTTTGGACCAGTTTACCCCCTCCACAAACAAAGCTGTGGTCGCAATTGAATCAAACGAGACACAAGAAAATCACCTGCTTTGCCGTCCTAACAAGCAAAGAAAGATATCAGAGATAGGCTTCGTTCGTGGCCTTCACCTTGACAGTGTAGACGAAGGAAGAGCTAGGGTCGGTGGTAACACCACCGAATCTGGGAAGGGTGATAGTGACTTTATCGATTCCACTTTGACTTTGAATGTGCTAAAAGCTGTCGGATTGATCAAATCTTCTGTTTCGACTGATAGTAAATCAGAGAGGTCATCGTTTCAACCAAGTTTAACTTCGTCTTTGTTCAAGGAGATTCCATCGACTGGAACAGGGCCGTATAGCGACTCACTTGCGACGTTAAAAGAMTTGGAAAAAAAGCTTCTGACTCAAAAACAGAGCTTCACTGCAGCATTCTGTAGTGAGACAGATTCCTKTGATACCGAGCACAACTTGGAAGATCGCAGCCTTGATGGATGTAATATCGTTCAGGAAATCGAACCCAAAACTTCAGCCCCGCTTACTCTCCGTGGTGGAGGTAGCGGTAACAATAATGACATGAAAGAATCTGTAAAGAGTCCCGACCGCAAACAGAATAGTGGTGGAGCAAGTGCGAAGAATTCGAAGGCAGGCAAATCGTCAATAAGGAAATCAAATGCGTCAAATAAGCCTGCAATGAATGCGACAGCGACTCAAACAAATCTGATGCGGCAAAATTTGATTCGAGAACAGGGATTGCAGCAGCAACGATTGGCATCATTACAAGCTCAAGGAGTGGCCCAACAACGCTCTGCGCAGTTTCAAGCTCAACTTCACAGTGCTGACCACTTTCGCCAAACAAATGCTTTGCAACTTGCGCATCAGTTGCGTATGTCGAGACTTCAAGCGCATGGGCATTCTGGAGCTACCGATCTTGCTGACTACATCGGCGGGTTGCACCATTCAACTCAAGCGCAGGCTGCATATGGGTGGCCCCCAGCATCTGCTGCAGCAGTAGCAGTTGCAAATTCAAATAACTTAGCTGCACTTGGTCTCAATCCAACGGGAGTTATGCCTCTCACTGTTGAAGACCGAACGAGAGTTCTCCTGGCGCGTGAACAGCAAAACTTGGCTGTGCAACAGGCTGTGCGTGTAGCTGCAGCGCAACGTCAACAACAAGCCTTATTGATGAGAGGGATGGCTGCAGTGGAGAATCCATTTGCTCAACAGGGATACCCACACATTCCTGGACAGTTGTTAAATCCCACGGCTGCCGCATTAATTGCTCGCCAAGGAATTCAAAACAGAGCCGCCAGTGCGAGCCACAAAAAGATGACGTCAGAGAGTAACAATACTTCCAAAAACGGGAAGTTCGAGTCAAAGGATCTGAAAAAGGACAAACAAGGGGACATTGATTTAGTAAAAATGGAAACTTCAAATAAGATTGAAGCAAACGTAAAAAAGSACGACAACACGTACACTCAAATCAAAGGGAACGACGAAAAAGTCGACATTGGTGATTCAAACGGAAATATTAAAAAGAAAAGAAAGATTCCTCCGAACAAATGCACTTCTGTTAACAAACCCGAAAAAAGGAAACGTACGTTTAGTATAGGGAAGAGTGACGATAGTTCGAAGATACCTTCTGCTGGAACAATTGAATTGAAATCGGCAGGCGCATCTATCAAAGCCAAATCTTCCGAAACAAAAATAGAACGCGATGTGGCCAAAGAGATCACTCCAGCAAAAAGGGTAGATCCAAATCAAGTGAAAGCTGCACCTATAGTGAAGAAAAAAGAGGAACAACGTCCAATACCATCTGTTGCGGATAAAAAAGGGGAAAGTCAGAAAAACAGTGTCCTTAAAACGCCAACCGGACTTCAATATTATGTTCCGGACACACCACCCGGCATATCTACAGATTTTGCAACAACCGTTTTGGCTGGTAGATGTCATGAGGCCATCGGCGTTTCAGTTTACAGAGATCTTTCTGGTGAGGGTTTGCGAGTGGTGAATTACATCATATCGGTAGGGATGGCTGTACCGATCCCTAAAACAGTAGTCATGAACCCGCTGAAAGATCGAATGAATTCCCTCGTATTCAAGAACAGCAATGTCAGTAGTATGCCTGCATCGTCTCGAGATATAATCGCTGCGGTGATACTTCTTTGGCTTTGGCGCAATCAAGAAGGTTGTTTTCAAAGAGCGTTTGCAAAAAGCGGCAGGATTGATGTTGATCCAGAATGCAAGTGGTTTGTGAACGCCGCTGTTAACAAGGCTGTTACGGCATTGTCCAACGAAGTTATAGGGTCGACATCTAGGGCAAATGGTCTTACCACAGCCTTGCTTACTCATAAAACTAAGAGTTCCACCAATCTGAAAGGGACGCATGGGAAAGCGGAGCAGGATTCACTGAAGACTACAACCACCAAGATCGACCTTTTAGCTGCATCTGTTGTCAGCAAATCGCTGAACATGACGTTGGTATTGAATGAAGAAATGGTGAGTAGAATGAATCAATATTCTTCCAAATATATCGCTGCTGCAACAGCCGTTTGGACTTACGTCATTTTTTCCTTGTTCTCTCCTTGCGTAGAACTCGGCAATTCCACAGTTTAACAATCTTGTCGACTATCTTGATGAATGCAGAAAATTGGCATTGTTTGCCAAATCCCAAGAACGCGCATTACTGGCCACTGTCGTTTCACGAAAATCGACTATGTCACTTAGTTTTTCCCACGCCTATGTGAGTGCAATAGTTCGTGCTGGAGAGGCTCTGGGRCACGGTGCACTCTTCGAAGTAATCCAGAATGAAAAGTGCGGTGTATCCACCATGATCCCGTATGATGTTTTCACTGACGAGTATGGTGCGTGGGAAGATCCTTGTCGTCCACCGATTGGATTCAACAAAGGACTCACAGGAGATGATTTGATGAGAAGGGCTCACACGAGGGCAATCATTCAAAAATCATTGAAGAAACTCCAAGCTCGCCAGAATGTTAAGGGAGGCACACATACGATAGGTCCGTATGTAGATCATAGTAACTCCGCGGCAACCAGCTCTGGTGCGAAAAGCACTTCTGGTGCTTCACGAAATACTTCTCATAGACGCCGCTCTTCTTCTTCTGAGCCTTTGGTACAACCAGGGAGCGGTTCGGCGGCAGCAACGAGCTGGACTCTTTATACTCCTAATCACCAGTCTCCRCCCCTTGACTGGGATGAGAATGCAACTGATAACGCACCATATGGAAGATATGACGAAAGTACAAGGCCACGCTCACTCTCATTGGCACAGGGCGCCGCTATATTACGGAACTCAGGTAGAGGACAGCGTCGTCGTCGATCGCAGGCARGTGGCTCGAGTTCTGTTAAAAGAGAGGAAACGATCCATCATGCATCGTCAAGCGAGAAACAAGATACCAAGGAAGGACCTGACGAAGATCGAAGGAGTACCAGGGAAATACCTTGGAAAGATGTGGCGGGGATCTTCCAGAAAGTCGAACTTCCGGACTCAATTAAGGAGCAAAAGGAGAAAGAAGCAAAAATGTCGTCACAACAACGTACAATTTTCGCTCCAATTGTCCGAAGGCCAGATTCAGTCCCTATTGTGAACGAAATCGAATCCGACGCAGATGAGGATCTTTCTGACGAAGCTATCCTTGAAAATCATAGAGTTGTGCTTGATGAGATGAAGGCTAGACTTTCTTCCTACATGGAAAGCAAAAAAAGAAACAACCAAGATCGGCGTAAGAGTACCGGTAGAGATAAATCAAACACCAAATAGAAACTTCATGAAGTCGCAAACAGCTTTTGAATTATCAAAAATTTGTAGCATACCAAAGAGTAAGGTACCAGTACGTGCTCGTATGCATTCCGATGCTAGTACGTAGGAGTAACGTACGTACAAAATCGTTGTACAGTTTCAGTCTTCACCGATAGAAATAATATTTTTCCAGTTCGGAAAAGGTTCTCGGTCACCTTCTTGACAATGGCCCAAAGCGATGTTGTATAAGATAATTAAGCTAAAACCAAATTGTGCAAGTTTCATTGTCAGCGAATATGTCCGATTCAAATCCGTTAAGTCACGAATAAAACAGCACCCACGTACGGTACAAACTTGTCGAACTGTCGCCAACCTCTTTGGAATCGATAAGGAACGCATGTGATGAAACTCTGCGTCCTCCCTTTCCTCCGCTGTGCAATTGAAGAGGTGATATGTGGATAGGAAAGAAATTTAGAAGACGCCAAGGATTTTGTTCAATTGATCAGTTAGGTCATTTTGTTTCTAAGAAATCGAATAAGATGAAAGAAAGGGACAGCTTTCTTCCATAGACGTTCACATGCAGGAAAGATGATGAACAAATTTTTTATTCTGTCGGGCAACAAGGTAAAAGAAAACACGCTGTTCCGTTCTCAACATAATCCAGTATGTAAATATCTCACCTACAATATTGGAACTAGAAGTGCATTTCGTACCTTCGAAGTSAATTGGAAGGCTGGACGAGAAGAATGCGGCGACACTCCTGTTCTTTCTATTACGAATTTCATCACTGTTTGAAACTGTACGTACCGACATTTTTTGCTTCGTTTATTTTTTTCTCGAGTTTGCATCAGTCGTTACATCAAGTCGTGACTGACGAGTCCCATCAAAATACCCGTACCGTACGGTAGGCCTTTTTGGTTTTGAGCGGCCCATCCACGCAAATGAGGCCATCAAACTGCTTCAACCGTTCTTAACGGCCCAAACGCCAGACGTACAAATACCGAATACGAGTACGGAACAATTCTTTGAGATGCTCATGGCGACACTGGGCACTGGTATTGAAAGATTCATAAACAAAGTAATTGCTAGCAATCCTGTCCCTTCTCTGAGGATTGAACTTGTACTCAACTCTTGGGATGGTGAAAGCCCCTGCAACAAATGCAGACCAAAGTGTTACATCAGCAAGAAGAACTCAGTTGCAGTGAATGGTTTCCCATTTACCACCTTCTTCTTTGAGCACTTTGGAACCACCAGCACCTGTCATTCTTGCTGCCTTGCACCAGTTTTTCCACTCAGGATATAGTTTGTCAAAGCTGAATGGATCCTTTGACCCTTTCTTCTTGTTGCTGCTCTCAGAGGGGATGAAGCAATCAACAAGAACATCCCACCATGTTTCTTTTGAGGATGATGAAACAGATAGCTTGTATTTTGCTTTAAAGGCAGCATTTACACAACCTTTGTCCCTTAAAGACACTAGTAGGAGCTATCTCAACTGGGTTCTCTTGCACTCCTTTTTTTAAGTTGCCATGACAATTAAATTCAAACTCCTTCTTTACAGCTTTGAATGATGGAACTTCAAAGCACTGAGGGAAGTTGTAGTAGTACTTGTTCTGGTGAGATACATGCTTAATAACGTCCTTCTCATTCTTAACAGTTGGAGCTCTTGCTACTATCTTGAAGCTGGGATTGGCTGATTCTTACACCTCTATTGTCTGTGGTGGTTCTAAAGGTTGCCAGAAGGTAGTTGTTGCAAAGCTCTTCATTCCATCAATCTTCTTTCTTTTCCTGCTGKGGTGGGGGTTGCTATTGTTCTTTGTAGTATCTTCTACTACTAGTGTGGTGTATCTGGTGGTAACCTTCTTGTCTATTGCAGCTTTCAATCTCTCAACCAAAAACATCCTTCCTGTCATTGATTGGTTGGTTCCTCACCAGCTTCAGCTTATTCCTTATTTATGCCACTGACTTTGTTGCAATCTACTGGTGTTGTTGTTGCTGCTGCTCCTGTGCCTCCTCCACTACCATCTCCTCCAATGACTCCTCCTCCTCCAGCTGCTGCTGGGCAATTTGTTGTTCCTGTACTGCTGGTTGTTTGTGCCTCCTCATCAAAGAGATGACTCASTTCATTTGAACAGCATCAAAAAATGGACCTCTTTCCCCATCAGTATCATATCCTTGGTTGGTCTTGTCTTCACTGTAAACAGTAGATGGAATTATCCTTTGCTGCTGAGGTCTGTATTCCTCATTCATATCAAGACTACCATCAGATGTTTTTGTGTTGTTACAGTTGCTGGTGGTGCCTGCTTCCTGCTGGCAGCTGCAGGGTCACTGTCAGCTGGCCCAGTAGGAGCAGCTGGTTCTTACAAAAGACCTCCAGTAGCTGTATGGCAACAAGGTCACCAGGATTTTGCATGGAATTTATCCATTCTTTTGTGTGAACCTCCACCTCAAAAGGGGGAGGGCACATATTGCCTGCTTGCTGTGCTGGTTTAGCTTGATTTGTCATAGGTTTGGGTAGTAAGGTGCCAGCAGCAGTTTTCCCTCCATTTATTGTCAAAATATATCTGGTACCAGTTTGGTCAGTAGTTACATGCTTCCTTTTCCATGGAATGAAGCTCCCCCTTGGATAAGGGGAAGGGATCTGTGTGCTGCAATTTCTGGTTGGGCTTGTTCCAGGAGGGTTGTTTTGTTCATTCTAGTGGTTTTGGCAGCGGATTTGGTTGTCAACAACAATGCTGGATAATTAGAATGGTATGTTATTCCTTCTTTATTTCCCATTGCTTCAGTAMTATCATTGCCCTGGGGTACAGGGAGAGTTCCATGTACTTAATTTTGGGAAAGAAGATCTGGGAGGGGAGGAATCACCATTGTGAGTTGGAAATTACAGCTGATACAATCATATGAAAAACAATTGAACTTTCTTGTTCAAATATGGGGTTGGGAACAAAATCAATGTCTGGGATGTTAGTGTCAACATCCCAAATGTCAGGTTAGTAACATTAGGTATGTTAGGGACGTACTATGCCCACATAGTAGAAATTTGTACTAAAACTGGGGGCAACATGCTGGCAGGCCCCAGCAGCTGCTGATCCAGCAGTTGCTCACTGAGGACCAAAATCAGTCTTTTGGGAGGTCTGTTGTACATTTTTTTGTAGAAATACTATTGTAGTAGGATTCAGTCAAATTAAGGGGGAAGGCTGCTCATTGTGCTGGTCAAAATGGATTAGTTTTGATTACACATTCAAAATCATACTGGGTTTTACTAGTGCAAGAGAAGAATCAAAACTCTCTCCAACATGCTAATCTAAACTGTTCTTTTGTTCCCTCAAAAAATAGAATTTTGGAAGAACCAACCATGGGGCAATTTCAAGCACTTCCAACCAGCAACCTTAGAGACCGGTGTAAGAACTGGTGTCAATCAATACTAGTAGCTCTCTTCAATTGCAGATTTAAGGTCTTGCCTTGAACTGGTGTGGCAAAGGACCCAGTACTAGAAGTACTGTTTTAGTGAGTGGTGACTCTTTTTTACATGCTTCTTTTTTGTCATCACAGCAAACAGCAACAATCAGCTTCCCATCACAATGAATACACAAGAAAGAAGCCAGAGATGGTTGTTTCCTACAGTTGAATAAAGCAGTGGTAGCAGGCCATGCTGAGGGATTACTTTCAGATGATTCTTCAAACTCAGAGGATTCTGATTTGAATCAGCAGTAGTAGAATTTTGAACACATAATCAAAACCAAGCAATTTTGACCAAAATCTGCCATTTGATTTGCATATTTTCTACAATAGTTCTTCACAGACTTTGTACTACAGACCTCCCAAAAGACCAATCCTGTCAGTCACAGGAGCTTCTTGCTTGACTACCAACTGGACCAGCAGCTGCTGCTGCTGGCCTGCCGGTGTGCTGCCACTGGGTACAGTACTAGATGTCCTATTTCATTTGTTTGTTGTGTAKGATGTGATGCAGGTATTGTCATTGCTGGCATTGGTGTTCTCGTTTTGTGAGGAGAAGAGGTGGTGTTCTTACAAGAAACAGACCACTGGAAGTTCTAACTCTTGAAAGCACAAGAACATACTACTAGTAGTAAGAAATAATCCACCAGCAATTGCTTCTTGTGTAAGACCAAGTTGAAATCRACACATTTTCCAAAGATCTTACCTGTAATTTGTGAGCAGTTCTTCTTGCATTGGCAATCTGCTGTTTTTTGTTTGAGGCCTCAAGAACTACAATAGTGTGATCTAGCAATCTGTCATTTATTGTATACCATTGGTGTTTTAAAAAAGGATGATTATAGTATTGTACATTTTTTAATTTCAATATAGTATAGCCGTGCATACCTTGTAATAATTAATAATCCCCTATGTCCCCCAAYACTACTGCTACCACATTTCTCTTCTTACTGGCTTTCAAATTGTGTGCCTATCATTCTTACTAGGCATCTTTTGGGGATCCAGATATCATATAGCTGTTAGAGTGAGTTGACCCCTCCTTAATTTTCTGCATGTTGTTTTKGGGATTAAAAGTTGGACTTGTAGTAGCAAAAGTTAAAGTAGGAATCAGCCACCAGTGAGGAGCACATGCACACAAAACTWTTTGGTTGCACGACTGGTGGGATTCAAAAATTCAACACTACTGCTTAGCATGTGCATTTTGTATGAATTTAGTTTTTATTCAAACTAGTTAGTATTACTCTTTTGTTTGATTAATCAGATGAAAGAACAGATTTTTGAAGTGTCAAAACACAAGCAGCAACAATCTAGTTATGCATTTTCCTGGTCCCCATCATTTTGAAAATTGAACTTTGCATAGTACTAGTGTCTGATTTTTTCCAAGAAGCTCCCAGTGGACAATGTGAAGTTTTAACAACTTCCATATTATTATTCCAATAGAATGACAGTATCCATATTCTCAACTTTTCTGATGCCAGTTGAAATTCATGGCATTTGAATATGATCTTATCATTGAGGAAGGGGCTGTCATGTATTGGATTCCTAACTATTCCCTTTGGAACCTTGGCTAGCTGTGTTGCAGGATAGTTAGACACCTGCTTTGTTACTCCTCCAGCAAAATACTCAAAGAGTCTCCATCTGGCAAAACAAAACTATTAGACTAACATCAGTTGGCACCATCTTTTTATGGACCATATTTCCCAGTATTGGATCTMAGATCCAGATCTCAATTTAGGTTCCTATTCCCTGTGGCTTTAGGAGCATCCTTGGTTTAAAGTCTTTTTGTTTTCATATATTGTTCTGTTGGAACAACGCAACAATAACTTTTATGGTGGTCACACTATTCTCCAAAGCAGTCCTTGATAATAGGAGAGAGAGTCAGAAACTTTTTTCTCTCCACCCCAAAATTTTTCAACTTAAGCCACCCTGTCTCCCATAAACTTGAAACTTTTGTATCAAATGTCTACCAATACTTCCTTCTTACCACCATACTATTATAAGTGTCTATGAAAAAAATTGCAGGAGCAATCAAGATGCTGCTAGTACTATTTCCACCACCACCAATATCAGCAATCCAATTGCTCAGTATTTCTTCCTTCTATTTTTGATTAGTACTAGTAGWAATTGCAAACCACAACCACTGGAGAACATCACTCAAGATAAAATACTCTAAATAATTCCAGCATACCTGCCTTAGTATATCTGGTCTACCCATTCATCCTCCTCCAGGAGTCCTATCCCTCCTCCCTCCTCACAGCAGCTAGCAGAACAAGCAACCTTCTCCCAACAAAAAGTGATGGTTCTAGCTTCTGTCGTACTAATGCCTCTATTAGTAGTTCACAGCACTAAATACKTTTAGTTATTTTTTAAAATAGTAGTAATATTAAAATTATGCAACAATGCTCATGTGCTTTTTGGCTACTAGTCTTGGGGTTTTCTTTCCAAATGACTGATCATGATAATGACTGAACTTCTTAGTAGTAGTTGTGTTAAGGTTGACAGTAAAATAATTCCTTCAATTTACCTCTAAAAAATTGTCATTGGAGTTAAAGGACGGGTTAGATTTTACAACAGGTTTAGCAAATTTCAGCCAAAAGGGTTGACGTATTTTCATTGTTTGCAAACATGTTTCTTTTATGCAACCTACTCAATACTGAACAACCTCCAAGGATCGCAAATGTCGCGCCCACTACTACTCTGGGGACAACCAGTACATTATGGTGAAATCGGATTTTACAAGTAATGAAGTCTTAAGCGAAATTACCTGGTTAGTCTAAGGATAGCACGATCGTACACAGAAAATTATGACTAACAACAGGTTTTGCCATCAATATTTTCTTGTTTGCTTCTGTTAATTTCTTTCAGTTTTGGTACGACTTTCGCACAACTCGAAAGTCCAGGTCGATGATTATTGCAATGGCCCCTGTTGAGATTGGTACTGGTATGTTCAGTATCAGTGGGTCTTRTTACCTTCCAGCATGGTCGCTAATTCTTCACTGATAGCCGTAACCTCGGCTAATTCGGTTTCGATTCTCTGCTTCTCTGTTAAAGTACTCGCTAATGCTTTCTGGAGCGAATGACTCGTTGTTTGCGCTTCCTCAAGCTTTGACTTCATCGCCTTCTCAGCCTTCTTGACTCGATCAAGTTCGGCTTCATGTTTCTTTCCCACTCGTACGAGGTTGGCTTCTTTYGTGGCCAGTACTGTCGKTATCAAAAAAGAGAAAAGATGAGACACATCGTTCTCAAGTTACCAAAACAAAATGTTTCATGGGCATCTGCTAACTTACCAGCTTTGGTTTGTGCCAATTCATCCCGAAGATCAGCCTCTTGCCCCTCGTATCGCCTACTAATCTCGTCTACTTCTTTGGTCGCAAATCGTAGGTCTCGTTCGAGCACTGAAATTTTGGATTGAGCGCTGTCAAGTTCTCTCTTTAGCGCCTGATATATTTCTTGTCTCTCCGCAAGTTGTCCCTCGGCAAGTGCGATCATTTCTTCCCGTGCTTCGTTGCAAGCAACCTCTCTCAAAACAATCTGCTCTTCCATTTCCTTACCGTGCTCTGCAATAAGATCAGCGATTTCAATCTGACTCATTTCGTTTTTAGCATTGGCAGTTTCCATGTCATTTCGTAGAGTTTTCAGTTCGTGCTTCAAATTTTTATATTTATTCGTAGCAGATATTGAACGGGATTCGGACTCAGCAAGTTGGGTTCCGAGTGCCGAGATGACCGCATCCTTCTCTTTGATGGCATTTTCTGCAGCTTTACAACGTTGGTCAGTCTCGGCCTCAAAAAGATCTAATTGAGCAAGCAGTTCATCACTTTCGGTACCGTGATTCTTTTTCAATTCGTAGATTTGGCGACTGTATTCGTTCTTTTCTTTTTCTMTTCTAGCTTCACTTTCCGCTTGAATTTCCCCAATTTCAACCTCGAGATCCTTTATTTTCTTTATCTGTGCATTTTTTTCGTCCTGTAAGACATCGATCTTCGCCTGCAGACGGTCTCTCTCGGTTTTTGCTTCCCCCCTTACTTCCTTCAAACTTTCTTCAAAGTTCGATCTCATGTCTTGAATACTCTCCTCAGGAACAACAGGTTTTGCACTCAGCAGGTTTTCGAGCTGAGCAATTCTGCTATTCAGATCGTCGACTTCCTCTTGTCTCTCGCTTGCTAAGAGTTCTAACTCTTCCGTGTGCAATTCATGCATCGATGTCATCTGATCTCCGAGAGCATCGCATTCTTTGGTTTTCGTTTTTATTATTTCGGCTTTCTCGTTCKCAAAATCTGCCTTGATTTGACAAAGCTCGGCACGCAGACGTTCGATCTCATCTGTCTCGTTCGTTTGGATCTTTTGTATGTACTGTTTCATAGTTTCAATCTCCTTTTCGTGTTCCTCYACCAAATTCCTTCTTTCTGTTTCAAAGTGAGCATCGCGCAGTTTATGTTCTTCGTCTGTGTTGTCTTTCAAATCGTCCATGCTTTTCATCAATTGACTAACTTTTTCTTCGTGACGTTTTTTGAGTTCTTCTATATGCTCTTTCATTTCCTCAACGATCTGTTCAGCAATATCCTTCGTTTTCAGTTGATTGCGCAGRGCTTCGTTCTCCTTCGCCAAGGCTTCTCTTTTCTCTTTCTGATCCTCTTTTGCTTGCTTAACCGCAATTTCCACCGTCTGAACACGTCCTTGTTCGAGTTCCTGAACCTTAGCTTTCRCATCGTCTCGTTCGGACTTGTACCGTTTCAGAATCTTGCCCATGGATTTGAGCTGATCTTGGGCTTTGTTGTAATCGACTCTCAACATRTCTATTTCTCCAACACAGGGAGATTCACTGTAGCTGGTACTAGGTTTCTTCTTTTGAGGGGTGCACATATCTTGATGCTCCCGCACGATTTGGCCAAGCTGGCTCTGGAGTGCCTCGATTTCTTTTTCRTCTTCGGTACGGAGCTTTCTCAGGTTCTCTACCTCGAGTTTTGAACTGCGAATTTCTTCCGGATCTACCGATGGCAACTCTGCCAGTTGTYCTTTCAAAAGCGCTATTTCCTTCAACGTGTCTTCCAATTGACTCTGGGAGTGATCGTATGATTTTGTGAGAACACCGACGTTTTCCGACAATTCAGCAACTTTTTGGTCGGCGACCTCCTTTTCCTGCTGCAGTTCGCTCATTTGTTHCACTTGCGTTTTCAATTTGGCGAGCTCGATTTCGGTGTCCGATAGTTTTCTAGTCAAYTCGTTGTTTGAATCTTGATGGCGCTGCGTGGCGGCCTCGAGAGACTCCTTGCTGCTGAGTTCACTCTCCAGCTCGGCAATGCGGGTATCCGCTRCTGCTTTTGCATTTCGTAGAAAGCCAAGTTCCTGGTCTCTGGAATCGCTTGAGGTTTGTGCCGAAGCTTCGAGCTGATCGATGCGCGATTTCAAAGAATCTCGTTCTCCCTCGGTTTCTTTGAGTGTGGTCGTCAAATCATCGAGCGATTGTACCTTGTTGATWAGTTCGTGGTGCTTCTTTGAAACCTTGCGCTCTTCTTCCTTGAGACGTCTCTGGAAGATGGCTTCTTGCTCGTCRGAATCTTTTTTCCATTGCGTTCCACTGTCGATCAATACTTGTTCGAATTCGTTTTCTYTTTCTCTCAAAATCTTGTCGTGTTGCATTCGCAGCTGAATTCGTTCTTCTCTTCTTGCGTCGTTAATCTTTTTTTCTACTTCTGCTAGTGTGAATGATTTCTCTACGGGTTGTACCATAGCAACTCCATCGAAATCATCGGGCAAAAACGCATCGTCGTCGTCGTCTTCTTCAAACTGGGTGGACAGATTTKTTGGGTTTGGCGCGGTGTTGTTTTGCTCTTCCATCGGAACATCGGAAGAACTTCGAAAGGTATGGGGAAACTGGATACCGGATCCCGCGGTGARATAGTCTTCGGTGTGAGAACCACTCGAGGTCTCTCGCAATTTCACCATGGAAGGTGTCGGGATGGAGATTCCCGGAGATCTCATTGCCTTGGTTGGCGACGWACGACGAGGAGAATGGTACTGAGAGGACGCCAGTCTGGACATCGGATCGCTTTCGTTTCTCGTTTCGTTTCTCTCGTCGGTCTCATCGGATGAGGTAGAAGTTGTCAAGAACAGCATGTCCTCGTTTCGATCCGAGTGGTCCGATGCAGCCACCAACGCGTCATCAATCTGCTTGGTACCGGTGGTGTTCCCCGGCATTTCGCCGCCGGATGCTCTCGCCGGAGACTCGGTCCGAGGGTTTGGAACCTCGCCGTGGTGGGGGTTCGCGTCCTGGGTTTTCGGGARGTTTYGGGCGAGCTTTTGGGGGCTGGACGCCGTTCCCTCGGGACCGGATCGATTGGCGCCGTGGATGCTCGMTTCCTCTTGGCTGAACGAGGGGAGGTCGAAGCTGTTGTTCGGAATGTGCACACCGAAATCGTCGGCGTCCGAGATGGACGTGTCCGGAAAGCTCCGTGCCTTTCCGGGAGTGCAAATGAGTTTCTTGAGGAGTTTCCTCCCTGGGGTCCGGGTGGTCGACGAGCTCGCGGCTGTGTTGTGTCCCGCAAAGATCTTCGAGACGGAAGCGGAGATCGCGCCCTTGCGGAAGGGYGTGGAAGACTTGGCGTCGTAGTCGTGGGCGATGTTGTCCACCGGGCGCTGGTTTTCGTTGTCTACGACCCCCTTCTCACCGACCTCGACGATGCGTCCTACGATGGTTTTTGATCCGTCCTTGGCCTTTTTGAACGGCGTAGTCTTGAACATATCAGATGTCTGTGCTGTATCGATATCGAATCAAACAAACTATCGGGCTCGTGTATTTAATTGAAATGCTCCAAAACCGGAGCCGGGTTCTGATTGAAAAGGCGATTCTCAGACGGAACTGTGTCCCGCGGAAGGATAGGATAGGATAGGATAGGATGGAATGGAATGGCTCGGTAGGCCTCGGTGCGATGTCTCCACTCTGTGAAAATCGGTTTCCCGAATCCTGGTCGTTTCGCTGCTGGGGGATTGCTGTTCTCCCGGTGTCTTCGTGGGGAATGGTCAGTGGTTGTCGCTTTCGGGTGCGAGTAAAAGTACTTTACAGTACAAGCACTAGGACTCTGTTCCCTGTCTTCGGCAGACGGAAGCTGATAGAACTGGAATGGAATAGGGTTCCAACGATGTCGAGAGGACACAATGCCATGGAATGTACCGGTTCTKGTACGTAATWCTGTGCGTAKTGCGTCGTACAGCACTCTTCGGGACGCAACCCGGCTACCGTACGGAATTCCACAAGTTTTTTTCCTCGTTCGCCATAAATGGCAGTTTTTTATCCGCACTGTATCAAGACTGAAAGTCGTTGGGGTCGTTGGGGTCGTTCAAATGATGTGTGCTTGCGCGCCGGGCGAACTTCCGAAAAATGTCAATCGTGCTCTTGATCGACGGAAATTCCTCGATCACAAGGCGTGTATCGGACCGAATGTACGGTAAGTACTGGTTGGTGGCAACCAAGGAACAAGCAAGGATGCACGATATAGAGCATGGTACAATCTGCTTTGTGCTTGTTGCAGTACCGTACTACTCGCACTACATCTCTCGTTAGAGACCAACCATGGCGGGAGCAGGGCTTCACGGGCACAGCATCCCGCACCGGGGGGAATCCACCACGGCAAGACACGGACAAAACACAAAGAACCTTTTGCGGTTCTTCCCTGTCTGATCCAACGGAATGTCTTTCGGGAGGAGAAGTGGAAACAAGCACACAGAAAAACCACGACACGTCCACTCGTCGGTGGCAGAAATGCTATTCCGTGAGAGGACGGGTGCCGGATGGCGGCAACCGCAGTAATCCACCAAACCAATCGATCCAGGTGCAGATCACAGTCTATCTTAAGCTCGGACAGTGCTTTAACTGGGTTTGATCAAAGTGCAACTAGTAGATTTGTTTGTTTTTATATTATATTATAGTATAGTATATTGTATACAACAACATGCATTCACGCATGCACACGCATGCACACAAGGCCCGCGCTGCATCCATGCGTGTGGCAGGCCCTTCCTTCCACCGCCACCGCCACCGCCACTGTCACTGTCACTGCCACTCGCTCCCTCGCTCGCTCGCTCACCCGGCGTAGCCGATCGTCACCGCCCGGTTCCGGAGGRTCGGGGAAAGGGCCTCCTCCAGCAAAAATCCCGCCGCGTCCTGCTTGGAGAGCATAAAGGCCAGCCTGCCCCCGTGGTCCCCCCTTTCGAGCAGGACGTCACAGGACCCCCTCGGCGGCTCCGAGGGGGTGAGCCCCACCGGGCGGACCAGGAGGTAGTCCAGGCCGCTCCCCCTTACGGTGTCTTCCATCGAAGAGAGGTCCCTTCGGGCGCTCCHTAGGACGGTCCGGAGCATCGCCGCCCAGAGGCAGGTCAGGGGGGTGGTTTTGAGGAAATCCCTGCCGATGCCCATGGAGGAGAGGCAGACGAGCCGCTCCGCTCCGGAAGCCTTCATCGCGGCCAAAACCGCCCTGGTTCCCTTTTCGCACCAGCGCTCCATCCCCGGCTGGCGGTTCCCGAGGCACGAGACGACGGAAGTGGCGCCCCCGAGGGCCCCCTCCAGCTCCCGGTCCGCGGAGGCGCCGGCCGCCACGTCGATGGTGGGGATCCCTCCTTCCAGCCCCTCCAGGACCGCTTCCGTCTCGTCCTTGAGGGCGGTGTCCTCGACGTCGACGTCGACGGTGCTGCTGCTGTTGCTGCTGCTCGGACCGTCGGTTTCCCCGGTTCCGAAACAGAGGGCCACCGGGCGGACGCGGAGGCCCCGCTTCGTGGCGAGGGCCACGGCGAACTTGCCGACGTCTCCCATTCCGCCCGTGGTGGCGTACAGGACCGCGACGGTGGGTGGTGGTGGTGGTTGTTGTGGTTGTATATCGGTCATGGCGGATCGATGGTTCTTTTGGTAATGGTGCTGTTTGCGTTTGCGTTTGCGTTTCGCAGTCGAGGGTGTGGGGTGTGGGGCAACAAGCACGCCCTAGGATATGAAATCAGAGACACCTTCTGTTCCTTTTGATCCGTTTTCGCACCAAGGGAACAAGCACGTTTTGTTGTGAAACGCTCACTGTCTGTTGCATTCTCCAGACATACTGTGCCTAACAGGCGTCTGTGTTATCTGTGTTCTGTGTTCTGTGTTCGCACTTTGCACTTTGCACAGCACCAAAGTGCACTTTCCGTCTCTTCTTTTGGTTCGGCGAGGTTCCGGGAAGGGCCTCGATGGCATCCTTTCTTTTTTGGGGGTCGTCGGGGAAGGCAGAAACCGCGAAAACCGCTCTCCCATCGCGCTTGGGCTGGAAGCCGAAGGAGGCTKTTGTTGGCGTTGCGTGACTGACTGGCTCGACCCAAACACAAAGACGAACTCCCGGGTCCGTTCGTGGTTTGGAAAAACCCGAGATCGTTTTCGATCCGAAGGTACGTACTGTACTTGGTACGTACAGTAAGTAYCGGTAGTGCGTAGGGATCACGGATCGGAGTATCGTAAGAAAACGGTATCTTACCGCAGTGTCGCGTAGTAGTGTACCGTAGGTACGAGTACCGTACGTATGATCAAAACCAGACGGCTACGTRGCTACGGTAGTGGTAGTTCGGTATCATACCTACCGCTACAGGTGTTGCCTGTTGCTATAACCGAGCAAGACCGGTGTCCCACTCTTGCTTCGCTGCCTTCCTTTCCCTCGTCCCCGTTCCGTTGTCGATGCCTGCTGTTACCGGTACAGTGCATTTCCCGTCGTTGCCTCGGAGACGACTTCCCACCCCACCAGCCGTTCACGAACCCATCGTCGGCGGGACCGATAGAGCGGCGGAGCGCAACGAATCGATCCGAACGCAACTTGTTGCCGTAGCAGAGAGACAGAGACAGAGAGAGACAGAGATTGATCCGACGGTGCCGAAAACGACTCGAATCGAATCGAATCAAACCCAATCGAACCCAATCGACTCGACTCGACTCGACTCGAACCACAACGAGACAAGAAAACACTCGCGCAATGGAACAAGGATCTAGAAGCAGCCCCGATCCCCCTCCGGAAGCCCCGGCTCCCGGGGGCGGATCCAGCTCGTCCTTCTCGTCCCGGCTGAAACTTCTGACGCGGGAGGAGGAGTCCACCCTCAAGACGGCCCTGGCCTTTGTCGTCGCGAGGGCGAGGGCCAGGGCCAGGACAAAGGCAGGAAGCACCGACGCTTCCGCAAGTCCCGAACCATCCTCGGTCCTCGACCACCTCTTTCTCCGGCCCGCGGAGGGGMAGAGCAGGGATGCCAAGCCGTTCCTGGAATGCCCCCTCGGGGACACGAGCCACGTCGACCACGTCTTTCGCGCCGCGAGGACCCTTTCGGAGGCCCTGCTGCTGGCGGAGGGGCAACAACAGCAGCAGCAGCAGCAGCAGCAGCAGCAAGAAAGGATGCCGGGCAGAAGCAGTACCAGAACTACTAGCACCACCAGTACTACTACAACCACGGCGGCAAAGGCGCTTGCCGGAGCCACGGGACACCTCGCCCACCAGCTGCAGCTCCTGCTGGCTGCGAGTGCCGCAGAGGAGACTCCCCCGGTTCACGGAAGGCCCGTGCTTGCGGCAGATCCCCCACGGGAACGCAKAACACGACACAAACGAAAMCCCCCTCCCGCTCTTGCGGGGGTTCCTCGCCGGAAGCGCCTCTCCTCCGGCTCTACGGCCTGCTCGGCTTCGACGCCTACGATGCAAACGAAAATGCAAATTCCAATGCAAATGCCCCCGGCCACCGGCAAGGACACCCCCGATGCGGCCGTCGTCACCCCCGCCACCGGTGAAAGGGCMCGGAAGAACGAAAGGGCCCGGAACGGAAGGGACGCCCCCTCCTCGATCGAAACCGCGGCCCTTGTGCGGGAATGGATCCGCTCGACCCTGCTGGAACAGCCACCGCGAAGCGAAGGGGTGGTCTCGGCTTCCGCTCCCCTTGCCGCTTTCTCCGGGACGAAGGTCCTGGCCTGGCCGGGGGCCACAAAGGCGATGCACGTCAAGGCCTCCTTTGCGGTGTACGCCTCCATGGTGCCACAGATCGCGGGGATCAGCCCGGCCCTGGTGGGGCACGTCTTTAGGGTCGCCGGGGGGCTGGTCCGGGACGCCTACCACGAAAGGATCGCCGTCGTGCTGGTGCCGGGAAAAAAGGGGGCAAGCCACTGCGACGGCAACGCCCGGGCAAGGGTGCTCCTGAACCACCTGGCCGCCTCGGCCMTGGGACTCCTCAGGGCCTGCTGGGAGGCGGGGAAAGAATCCTCCGGGGGGATTGGTGCCTCCGGGGAAAAGGCGGCCCACCGCACCTTTTTGCTCCTCTCGCTGCAGGAGCTCCTGGGGGACCTGCTGGTGCCCCTGCCCCTCTCGGAGCTCCCCCGAGAGCACTACCGGCTGGCCGTCCGGGGCCTTGCAAGGAGGAAGCAGCGGGAGCGGGACTGGCACGAACGGCAGCAACGAGAACGAGAACGAGAACAACAACAAGAGCAGCAGCAAGGACCGCGACACCCGCGCTACAGCGGGGCTTGCTTCGGGTTGGACCCGGAGTCGAAGCTCCTCCTGCGCATGGCCGTCTACCGGTTGCTGGTGGACTGAGCCACGGCCTGCGATGCGGGGCCGCACCGGGCAAACCAAGGCACACAAGAGTCTTCCGCGGCCGCGTGCTTCGCCGRCGGCGGCGAGACACGCGGCGGGGATCTGGCAGCAAGACCGTGCTACAGCAATACGATACTACAACAATACATACATACATACATAACACGCACGGAATGCGACGCAACACCCAAGGAGGTTTCGACAATCGTTCGCGGTGTTCGTTTGCATTCCTCGTTGGTTGGCACGGACCGTGCCGTCCCATTGGATTTTGGAGTAGAGTGGATTGKATTCGGTTGTTCGATTCTGTTCTGWTTCAAAAAATAATACGGTTTTTCTTGGTTGGTTTGTGTGTGGTRCGCGTGCAATGTGSYGTGCTGTGCTGTGGCGTGGCGTGGTGCGTCTCCTATCCCTCCTTGCTCGTCAGCACAAAGAGCCCCATCATCCCCACCAAAACGTACTTGAGCACGGGGTAGTCGTTCAGGGCGATCGTCACCATGCCCACGTACCGCAGGGTTCCCACCGCCTTGCCCAGTATGTCCTCCCGCTCCAGCCACAGCTGTCCCGGCGCGTACAGGCCGCGGTCGTCGACCCGGTTGTTGTCTCCCTTCGTCAGCAGCTCCACCCTGCCGTCCGGGCCGTCCTGGTGGACCTTGAGGATMCGGTGGACGATGGGGATGTCGCGGTCCTTGATCTTGAAGACCACCACGTCCCCGACGCCGACCTGCTCCACGCTGTTGTTCAGGAACAAAATGTCCCCGCGCTGAAAGGCGGGCTCCATCGATCCCGACAGGACCACCACCACCGGCGACTCGCTCTGCCGTCGTGGTGGTTCGTAGCACAATACGGTGGTGTTTGAGTGGTGTGGTGTGGTGGTGTGCCCGTYGTTTTGGTTGCGTTTGGTATTGGTTTGGTATTGTTTTGTGTTGGTTGCGTGAATTCGGTTCGTTCAGTGGCATAGCATAGCATCGCATCCCATTGCATGGCGCACGGAATCGTCGAGTCGTTGCCACGCACAACGATTGTTGCACGGATCAATCGCGGGTCGGAAACAAACGAGTTGGAGGTGGGTGAGAACTACTGGAACGCGGCAAAAAAAAAAAACCACAAACAGGGCATCGTCTTCCTCCTCCCTCGCCATCGTCGGCAACCACAACCAGCGACCACAAACAAGCGCTGCTACAGGGAATTCTTCCGGCGGCACGGTGCTCGGCCCCGGCCGCAAACAGGGCACGCTGCATGCATGGCATGGCATTGCATCGCATGGCACGGCACGGCATTGCGTCCCATCGAAACGAACGAAACAAAACAAAACGAGAGCCAACCCACCTTTGTGTAGCACATGAGTGCCTTCCAGATCATCAGCGCCGAGAAGACGATCATGGCCAGGTTCAGCAATTGAAAGAGCAGCTGGCGCTTGTTGGCCCAGAGCTTCTTGAGCTCCAGGACCTGCTTGTCGAAGACGTCCTTGATCATGTTCGTCATCTTGTCTTCCTTGTGGTGGTTGTGGTATGCGTTGTTTGGTCTTGTGTGGTCTAGTAAAGTCTAGTGAAGTGCGGTGCAGTGTAGTGCTGCCGTACGACTCCGCAGTCTTTGATCTTCTTGGGTGTCTTTCTTCGGTCCTGTTTCCGTATCGCACGGTAGCGTATGGTGCTGTGCAACTGCTTAGATAGGATGGAATCGGTTCGAGTGATTGGGCCCAGCCATTGCGTTCAGCGCTTGTTGCGAAAAGACCCCGTAACAACACGCTACACTTGCGATCGACAGAGTTAGTACCGTACAGTACGATACTAGTAGTACTAGTACTAGTGGAACGTTTAGCAGTCCATCCCATACATGGAACGGTCAGCTTTTACTATCCTACCGTACGGTACCGTACCGTAGGACTAGTTATTAGTCTCACACCGGTAGAAACCCATCGTGAAGTCACCATCCACGAGGCAAGGTCAAACTTGTCCGGATTTCCACGTGGAGGTAAGAACCGTTTCCGTCCGGCTCGTGGAGTTCCGTGCGAAGTGCGAACATATCTGTCTAGGTATGAACATACCTCAGTGAGTTCGTAGTTCGTATGAGCAAAACCTGATTGGGTATGAACTATGAACTATGAACGTACCTAGTTGGGTAGGAACATATCTATCTGGAATCTGGATACGAACTTACTCGTACGCATGACCCAGGACCCACGACCTGTGAGAGTCAATCACGAGTAGCTGATGAGTGAACTGTGACCTCACTCTTTATTGAAAACACGTACCGGTAGTTATCGTACAGAATCTTTCGTACGAAATCTTTCGTAGAAAGTAAATAGTACGGTACGGTACGTACTGTACTACCTTACTCATTGGAAGTACATCATGTTATTTGCTTGGGTACGAACATACCTTTGTAGGTACGAACATATCTAATCTAAGTGGGTAGGAACTCGGAACAGATTGTGCATACAAACGTACGGTACGATCTACGATATGATGCGTGCTCGTACTAGTGCGTACTCGTTGATTGTACTCGTGCTCCTACTGTAAAGCCATCTGCGGTCTGGCAGCCGGCGGTGTTACGAGTTACGAGCGTCTCATCAAAACAGAAAAGCTCGAACATCAACAAAACAAACAAAACAAAAACAGAACCAACCTTGGCAACAACTCACCCAATCTGTTTCAGTTCGATCCTTTCGATTGATACTCGCGAGGGACGAGTACAGTACGTTCGACCGACTCCCATTCGACGCACGGTACAGCGTTCGAAAGCCTCCACGGCCATCAAAAATCAAAGCACGGCGGGAGAACTTCGGAGTCCTCTACGGCACGCAACGAGCTCCAATTCTATCGGCACCATGCCAAGCAAGCTGGACTACCTCTCGAAGTATACCTCGGCGCCGGATGCGGGCGGGGACCGGAAGGCACCAAAGAAGGTGAAGAAGAAGAAAAAGAAGAAGGATAGGAACGATCCGGGGCCACCGAGGCGATCCAGGGTTGCGGACCATTCCACCAGCGTCGTGGACGACGACGACGACTACTTTCGCCGTGGGGCCCGCGATTCGGACATTAGCGACGGCAGCGCACACCCAAATGCGTACGACGACGACGACGACGATGGCCCCGTGGTGGTGAGAGATGCCTCCCTGGATGTGGCTGGCAGCGGGGAAGCCGGTGGGGGGGCGGATTCCGGTGCACGGGGGGTCTGGAAGACGGTTTCGGTCTACGGGAGCCGGGAAACCCAAAAGAGTGCAGACGAGAGACCCTCCTCGAGCAGCCCCTCCGACCACCAGAAGGASCAGCAGGACCCGCCACAGCGACGGCGGCAACGGCACGATTCGTCCTCGGAGGAGGAAGACGGAAACGAGGGCCGGCAGCGACGGAGGCGGCACGATTCGTCTTCGGATGAGGAGGAAGACAACGGCCAAAACCGCAAGCGTCGCCGGCAGCGGCACGAYTCGTCCTCGGAGGAGGAAGGCGGGGGCCCACCCCCGGATGCCCGGGGTTCCTCCGACGGCGGGAGCGATTCCGGCTCGGTTGCGGGGCGGGGAAGGAGGCACCGGCGGCGATACGACTCGGACGAGAGCGACGCCGAATCCGGCGGGGGGAGCCGCGGGCGGCCCCCGAGGAGGCGCCGCGGCTCGGACAGCAGCAGCAGCAGCAGCAGCAGCCGCGGAGACCGGCGGAGGCGCTGCGATTCCGATGCGTCGTCCGCGAGCGGCGGCGGGCCGCGCATGTCCTCGGGGCACAGGGCCGGCCTGCAGAACGCCGGGGACTTTGCCCGATCGGAACAAAAGCTCGCGGCCCGGAAGCACCGGGACGCCCTGGAGATGGTCGACAGGCACGGGACGGGGGAGACCGTCTACCGCGGGAAAGACGGCCGGCCCACCACCGCCGGAGCGGACCCGGTGGCGGAGGCCGCCAACGCGGAGGAAGGAAGGCGGAGGCTCAACCGCGGCAGGGTCCAGCAGCGGGCGGAGGAAGCCAGGGCCTCGGAGCTCGCCGCCCTCGCGGGGTCGGGGTTTGCCCGGGGGGAGGACGACGACCGCCTCGAGGCGATCCGCCGGAGCGCCATCCGGGAGGACGATCCGATGGCGGAGCACGCGCGCAAGAGGCAGCGGCAAAACCGCCGCGGCGGCGATGGMGGGTCCGCCCCCCCCAAGCCGGTCTACAAGGGCCCGGCCCCCCGGGCCAACCGGTTCGGGATCCCCCCGGGGTACCGCTGGGACGGGGTGGACCGGGGGAACGGCTTCGAGGACAAGATCCTGGCCAAGAGGTTCAGCGCGGGCCGAAAGGCGGAAAAGGCCTATCGCTGGAGTTCTGCCGATATGTARMAAGGCGTGCGATGGAACAGAGCRAWTGCGCTCCCTCCAGCGCCCCTTGGCGGGGTCTTTCCTGTTGGGATGCTGCCGGTGTTTTGGAACGTTTATGCCCCGCATGGATTGCCGTCGGAACACGGCACTGCCTGCTCCCAAAAATTGTGACAAAATTAAAAAAATTGAAAAACCGACACTAGTTTTACATTGCCTACCGGCGCTTTTTGCTTTCCTCACAAGCCGGACGGCTCGTTTCGGTCACTCCGCGATCCTGATCCGGTAGACCTCGGGCCAGTATTTTCCCGTGACGAGCCACTCCTTCCCTTCCGTCGACGGAAGGATCGCGATCCCGTTGAAGACGTCCTCGCCCCTGGAACGGTTCTGCCGGGGACGGAGCCTCGTGAAATCGTAGACCCTCGTCACCAGCCCGTTGGAGGGATCGATCCGCAGGACGACGTCCTCGAACCACTTGTTGGCCAGGAGGGTCCGGGTGTGCGGATCCCATTCCAGCTCGTTGATGTGGCCCAGCAGGGTTCCCTCCACCGCCTCTTCCTCGCTCCCGGCGGTTTCGCCTCCGTCCTCCCCTCGGGCCTCGGCCGGTTTCCGCGCCACCAGCACCCTGTCCCGCTCGTCGACCAGCTCCTCCAGGCGSACGGGGATCGGAGGCCTGGAGGGGATCGCCTCGAACCCGAGGTCCCAAAAGTGGAGCATCGCCGATCCGTCCGTGACCACAAAGATTCGTTCCAGGGGATCAAAGGCGATTCCCCATCCCTCCGTGGTGGTGGTCGGCGAGGGCCACGGAGACAAGGTCTCGACCCGCTCGAGCGTGTTTGCGTCGTAGACGACGATCGATTGTTCCTTATAGGTCAGAACGGCGAGGAGTTCCCGGCCGTCGTCGTCGGTGTAGCGCGTCGATCCCTCTCCGAAGAACCGGTCCTCCATCTTGGTTTCGCGCACCACTTCCCCCGAGGCCAGGTCCCAGGTCCGCACCAGGGAGTCCCCGTACATGCCCGTGGACTCCGTGACCAGCCACCGGCCCCCGTCTTCCCCCGAAGATCCCTCCCCGGAGGAAGAGGAAAACGACACCGGTGCGCAGGTGTTGGCACCTCCTTCTGCTTCGCAGCTTCCCTCTCCCGC